CAGCATACGTAGCTGATGACTTCAGATGATGGCTCGAAAACGGTGCTTACAATTACTGTCAATGGCTTTTTCCTGAAACACCAACTAATTGTACTCAATAAAACGGGATGTTATGAACAAAAAACTTTAAAACTTGATGCATGTCTTGCAACGCATCTATCGTTATTGTTATTAAAACACATCACGTTTCCCTTCACTTATAACACCAAACTGTCCTACACATTCTACTGACGATCACCCGAATTAGTCTGCCTGTTCTAACGTTTCTCCCCTATTATTTGTTTGTATGACTAATTTGTCTTCGCTTCTTAACCCTTGTATTTTCTCCGTTTGTCTACGTTCTAACTTAAAAGTTGTTACATTAAAGATGAATGATTGTCTGCCCGATAACTTGGCACTCGCTGGCTCCAGCCCGTTGATAAATTCACTTGAAGAACTTAAAATATATCAACTCACAGTTGATTGTGTACATTAACATTCAGTGTTTTTTGTTACGACAAAGTGAAGACCACATTTCCTAATTTTTGACACTATGTGTAATCATGTTTATGTACGATATCTAGTGTTACTCCGTATGAACTGTAAAAACTGAACGTTATTTTTTTTGCCGCTGTTATTAAAAATAAACGCTATCACTGTCGTCAGTTCTTCTACTTTAGTGGGCACGGTCCGTGACGAAACATTACAATAGCGTTATAACATTCTTTCAGATCACACTGCGTTGAATAAAACTATCGGATTTGTTTTTTTCATAACGCCGTTGGTGCCACCATGTGCAGGGGAAGGCGACGAACTGTCACATAGCTACATATTTTGGGGCCTCTTCCTTATTTTGTACTTTGTCTGATGTTCGAATTAAAAGCTAATTCTGGACAAATTTCCAAAACAGTTTTCTGATTTGAAAACTGGGTAATCAACCGTATTTTTATCTTGCGGTGTATGGCATTATAAAGTCGTTAAAAATTCATTATTTAGGAATTGTTAGAACAGTTTTTTAACTGCATCTCAGGCAAACATTTATTTCAACTTATCCATACAATAAAATTCGACTAATGACGTGTTTTTATATGATATAACAAGATTAGTGCATATATAACCATAGAAACAATATTTTCTTAACGACCATCAGAACCGAAACAAGCAACGTTGACATTACATAGTTTTGTTTATGATTTTGTCTTCCTTGCTGTGATTTTAGCTGATTTTCACCTTTTTTTACGACTATGCTAGAAGTAGATTGATACTGAAGATGGTAGCTTTCTTCGCGGTTGAAAATGTTATACATTTGCTTCAAGTGATAGCAACACCTACTGAACTGTGAATATTAGCTTCTCTGGTTATATATACAAGCAACCAACTCTTTATATTTCACGTAATAAAGCAGATTTACTTGCGAAAGGTGCATTTATGTGGAAATTTCACCATGGACTAAACAAACTTCCCGCCGTTATTACTTACTGCATGGAACTTCAGGTCTTAGATTGATGATATTCTTGTAAAAATAACCAGTAGCAGAAATATGTACTACTATAAACTGCGACTCGGAAAACTCACTGATATGCATGATTTTTTAATTAAAATTTGCCAAGTGTATTAACGGACGGATGACATTCTAATTAGGTATAGAATGAGACTGATTATTAAAGACAGGTCGTAGTTGTTTTTATATAATCACAAGTAAATCAAGGTAGCTGCAAACCACAGATATGTTCCCACATCCTTGGAATAATTTTACTACTGAGTTTGGCTAGATGCGTTGAAAAATTTCGTTGATATTTTCGAGTCGAAACTCAGTTGACTAGAAAGTGCGTTCAACAACTTGGGTACAGCTGTTTCCTCAGTTTGGCAATATCGTTCTTGGTAAGCTGCCTGTGCAACTCCTAAGACACCAGATGTCGAACGCTACACGTTGAATTATTACCCAAGAGAAGTTGTTTTAAATATAAACTTTCACTCGACGACAACTACCGTCTTGAAAGACCTACAGAAACACATCCTTATATGCAAGGATGGTTGTGCGTGGTTGGTTTTTAGCTCACCACATATTGCATAGACCTAAAGCCCATGATGGAAGTGACAATATTCAGATCCCAAGGATGAATTCCTTCCAAGTAAATGATCAACGTCGTCTCCTTTGTTTAATTTGTAGCGGAGAGTTAGAAGGTGCATGCTCTTCCAAAGAATGTTGACCACTATCATCATCTACATCCTGAAAACCAGCATCTGAGTCTGATGCACTGTGTCTATATGTACGAACATACCTGACGACAAAGTACTTTAGAGTTGGGTCATCTTCGTTCTTTTCACATACTAATATGGCATTATTGTGGTGCTGTTATCTGACTCCATTTAGACAGTACGATGACTGTAAGATCCATTTTGAATGTTTTGTGTGTTTGTGAAAATCCCTCCATGTATATACTTGCACTTTGTTCCTATCGATCCCCTTAGTTGTACATTGTTGTATTTTGATTACATTTGAATTGTTAATACTTGTATTTTTTATTATAGTTTTTGTTTTTCTTACGCATTCACTAAGTTTGTGTTTCTTCCCGAGCTGCATCTGTGTTGTTTTACTTGACACTTGTTCTTGGCAGTAGCCATATTGATTTGCTCCTCCTTTTGTGTGTTCTATCCAGTCAGGATAGAATAACGTTCATTTGTTGTGACTGGTAATTTTCCCTCATCTTTCATCAACTATTTTATTTATTGTAATTTAGATTTTATTGATTGAACAATTATTGGTTGAATAGCCGGGTGGTAATATTTGTTTAGGCAACGATTTACATTTAAATTTATGATGAATTATAGAACCGCGATTTACCCGATTACTTGTTTTGATTTTGACGGGCAAAGGCGCGTGTCTAACGTACCTGGAAGGCCATTCAGCAGTCCAAACCATAGTTTGGATCTTACAATGACTGCTATCGAAATATACATTCTGACTACCCTTGTACATAATTATTTACTAGATATTCTGTGATGATTAAGAATATTTGAATTATAGTACAAACTGGGAATCCCAGAAATAGCACAGTTTAACCAAGAAGTACTAGACGAGTACGAACGAACATATTGTAGCTGGAATTCTAAATCAAGCAGACATCAAACACAAAGGAATCATCAATTCAGAAAAACACGACACATACGTTAGAGAAAAACGGGGTAGAATAAGTCAAATGCGAGAATAAACTTCGGATATATTTCGTATACTTTCGTGAAGCGCGCCAACTGTAGTACTGATTAAAACCATCTACATTCATATCTTATAAATTATCAACCCAGCCATGTAATTTACTACAGTGGATATTGTATCATTTGTATCAATTTGATCTTGCCTGTAAACTGGCATGCCTCATGTAACAAACTGTTATTTGAGAATAAAATTATTATTATTATTATTATTATTACTTCTCACAGACAGGCAGTCGGAGAGAAACGAAGAAAGAAAAGCGAGATGGAACGCGACAAAAGATGACGTCGAAAAGAAGATAAACGAACCGCAACACGTGAGAGGAAGCGAGTGAGCCAACTCAGCTCAGCCAGGCTCGACTCGCTATTTATACCTTTCGGTGGAACAATGAGGAGTTGGTCTGAAAAATGTGATTTATTTGCGCCATACATTTCGAACAATCTGGTTACATATATACTTGTCGGGACATTTTATATGAAAACTTATAAGGTCGGTTAAATGAAAGTTCCAGTAAAAAGTGACAAAGAGGAGAGAAACAATTTTACATCATATAGAAATAATAAGAAATTGTCGCGTTATCCTAGGCCATACAATGACTTAAGGGTTACCAAGGTAAATTCAGGATTACGACAAATTGTTTTTGTACACATAAGAGGGGTTTAGATTTCAGAATAGCCAAGGCTTCAATAAACTTGAGAATTCGTACTTGACAATTTCTACACAGCGTTCAAAAAGGTGTATTAATGTCAATTTTGTGCCCCGTTTCAATCATATGTTTCTCTATCGATGAACCTGGTTTTCTACCTCACACGTTTGTCGATCAATCATATCCAGGTAAAAATAAGTTAAAACCCTCAATGAATGGGGTAAGCAATTAACGCATATGCGACCTTATGAAAACAGTTCGAGTTAATTAGCATTTAACCAACTAGCTCAATTGTGGCTTGAAAAGAAGGAATTGGCTGATCTATCCAGAAGCTAGAATAACCTATGTGGACTTTATATAGTACCAACAAATACAAAGATCCAATTCTGAGATTTAATAACAAAAACCAGTTGCAAAAGAAGTCCGTCTTAACTATCCACACACCATACTGGGTGTGCGGATAATGTACAAACAATTGTTAAATACAGAGGTCTTATGACCTTACATACTTTTTTCAGACAGGTCTCAAAATTGTCCAACTAGTATATCATCGCGATAGCATAACATCATTGAAGATTTGTCTTACACCACGTCAAGTACTCAGAAACCTCCATCAGTAGACGACGCCACTGGATCGTGGCGGAAGAGGGATCTTTGTTAACCGAGATCAAATCGTTTACGTCTGGAGTTCCGTTTCTCACACCGAGTAGTGAATTACTGCAATTCCCTACCGGAACACGTAATATCAGCACCTTCTGTTAACATATTCAAAACGAGATTGGGCCTCCACAGTATTACAAACTGCAAGGATTAATATAGGTCGATAGACCTCCTATCCTTATTACTGAAGTGATTCATTTTCGGTTGTTATCTCTGAATCATTTGTTTCATAACATTTATCACTTGTTATTTAACATAACATTTTTTGTAAGAGTTATTTTTTATTGATTTGCCTTACTCATCAACATACACCTCGTCTTATTGAGTTAATCATTTTCCATTACATCATTCGTAACAATGTATATTGTCATATCTGGAATATGTGCTAAAAATACCCACACTGGACACCACCAAAGATCTAAAATAGTGTTGATAAATCAAGAAGCGAATGAAAAGAAACTATCTGGTTTGCGATTTCCAGTTCCAAGATTATTGGACTTAAAGCGCTCACTGTACGGCCTTTTGCGCTACTATTTCCCTTGATTTTTAAAAACGATCTTCCGCAACAGGTATCGTCAGACATATTACTTTTTGCTGATGATGTGAAAGTTTGGAGAAAGATATGCAACCAATAGGGTATGCAGACATTTCAGGAGGATCTGACTCGACTTCAAAGTTGGGCAGACGATAACGGACTTACCTTTAACACTTCAGTGTGTAAAGTAGTCCATCTGAGACATGTTTCAGACTACAGCTTCAACTTACGCGACTCCCCTCTAGAAGTATCCCAAAAGATTTAGGAGTGCTGACACACTACGATTTTCAGTCTTACGCCAACTGCAGTTAGCGTCACATGTGACAAAAGTGCCTTGCATTAGTCAAATTGAAGCGCTTTTTAGCCAGTTTGACGGAAAAATTTTCAATATAATCTTTAACAGTTTCATTAGTCACCATTTAGAGTACGGAAACATAGTATTTCCCCCCTCACTCCGAAGAGATAACGACACCGTGGAACGTATCCAACGGCGAGCCATGAAATCAGTTCGGGGACTCAAATTCAAGCCTTATGAAGAGTGGCTCCAATCACTAAACCCTTACCCTTCTAATGGCTTACAGCATTTTAACACTACTGGGCATTCTTTTAAACACCTGCTTAAGTTTAGCTCCAACACAAACTCAAGGGGTAGTACCCAGAACCTGGAGACACAACACAGCAGAACGGACTGTAGACACAATTTCTATTTCTTAATAGTAATCAAATTCTGGAAGTCGCTGCCGATTGAACTAGTCCAAACGAATTACCAGGAGTCTTTCAAGAGAAAACTTGACATATTCTTAAGGACTAAGGATAGTATCTTCCTATGGCTTACCAATTTCTTTTTCCTATTTTATCTTTAATATACATAGGTTCCTGCCTGGAGGTATTGGTGATCCACAGCTACTAGATACGAAAGTCCGTTCAGCGAAAGCTTCTATTCCGTCCATAGCCATCTGAACCATTTATGTTTTACTAGTCGTAATGTTTGCAGTATTGGTAGCTGGAAGACCAGTGCGTTCAATTTTCATTCACATCAAAGTTTAGGTACAAACAAGTTTTAATATAATATCAGAGTCTCAGTTTCTTCTGGATTTGCTACCCTTAAATGATGTAAATCATATTGTTGTGTTTCTAACAGGAGAAACTGTCTTTCCGCCAAATATGGGTGGCGGGGGTAAGACGATATGATTTTTGCAGTAGTTTCTTTCTAGTTTATCTGGGGATTCAGCAAAATGGGGTCCCTAACTGGCACTTTCTTGGTGTTCTAACGAACGAGAAGCCTAGCGCGATATATAAAGTTGGCAAACTTGCTAAAAGTTAGTTTCATTCCTTCTCTTGTATTTTGTTCCATGACTTTTGGCTTTCACCAGTGCTGGAAGTAGTTTGGCCTTGTGTTGTCTTGATACTTTTACTTCTAAGTTGGTAGCAAACATCATGTGGTAAAAATATGTCAAGGTGTTCCTTTTTGGTCTTTCATTTCATTTGCCTGGAATACCGATTAGAGTTGGATTTTTCACATTGTAGCGCAATGTAACTTGGCTTTATAACTCATTCCAACGAATATCAAAGTCTATTTACTTATCATTAAATGCTCGTCAATTATGTAAACCAGTTAGTTGACGGAGCCCTAATAATTTCACTTAGATTTCGTTAAAGTACTGTATACGATTCATGTGATGTACATTTGCGAACAGTGTGGAGAATAGCATCCTCAAGAATCCTCATTGAATAAACCTGACAAATTAGTCATTAAAGTATTATACCTGACTAGGTTTCTGGTCTTAAATAAATTATAGTATAACTAAACAAATATCTCGAAAATAGCAAATTTAGACGTAATTGATGACTGAGTATTGAAAGCTATTGAAGTGCGAAAGGTTGTTCCTTGAGAATCTCAACTACTAGACTACATCACTCAGTTTACTTCGGATATGTTGCATATTTCTTGCACAAACAATATAGCCGCAGATTCTTTGTGTCAGATAAACTCCTTGAACAATCTCCAAAGGGTCGACTTTAAGTTATCATGTTCATTATCCCTGACTCTGTGACCGACGACGAGTAAATTAAACAAGGGCTCCAATAAGAACGTTTCTGAATATATCTTTAAGCAGTAGAATTATCTAACACGAACAGTAGTAATAATCGGATTCAAAGTACAGTATAATCTAGTGGATAACTGAACTGAAATAGTAATAGTATTGGGTTTATATCGACTTGGAATTGTATTAATGTATATATGACGCAATAGAATATCGAGCAGTTGTACTGTAATTAATTAAATCCAGGATTACAATAGACAGGTCTAATCTACGTTGTACTAAAATGAATCCGAACTGTTGAATTCGTTCTAACATATCCGCCTCTTACTCAGAACGAGGACTCGCTGCTTGAATCCCATATTCTAAATCCGACCTTGTACAGGTCTCCACGCTGATAGAGACCCATTTACAGATACTCATGTCATTGAGAAAGCCATTTGTCCAGTTTGCGATTTCATAATGGGTTTCAAAGCTTTTCAGTTTTAATTTGGGACTCAGGTGACATTGCCAAAGGCTCTGCTTAGATCTATGAAAATTACATCTACCGAAATATTTCTATCTTTCACTGCAGCCCAATATCTTTCAATGAACGACAAAAAGTACACAAGATAATCACTAATGTGAGAGTCAACTGAAAAGTACCACAAGATTGATTTGAAGATAATTTTAAATCTTAACCGAAATAATTTAAGTCAAAGTAGACCAAGTATGCTTCTAGTGCAATAAATACCTAAAAGCAAAGTTAATTCACAACAAGTACGAAAGCACTGGCTTTTTTTAAAGCACGCGCATGCTTTTATTAATAGATCAGTGGGTTAATCTAATACGATCAACAGATAAATTAATGGGCAGGCATATCACAAGGATACGTATACAAGCAAACATTATTGCCACACTGTCTTCGATACGTTGAACAAACTATCTTATCCAGATGTGCAAGCAGCTGTCAAGCTCGTTGCAGAACAATTTTGCTGACCTAGTATGAAGACATGAGAAAATCGGTAAGGTCCTGTGTAGGTCACCATAAGTCTAAGACAGTAAATAATTCCCCCATTACCCCAACCTTGTTAGTATTACTGGACCAAGGGACGACATGCTGTGAATTTTTTCTCTTGCTGTAGCAAGTCACTTTAGGATTCTCATGTTATATTACTTCTGCATATGGCGAAATACGTTTTTCCTCCCAAACATCCTTCTAGTTTTTTTTTCTCAAGAAGACACTTGTTTACTAATATTTTCCAATTTCACCGTATCTACGATACTTTCATGTACACTAAGTGAAGAAGCTTTATGGTAACCTTAGAGTAATGTCTGTCAACGCTTTTTGGTTTAGTTTCTTAGTATCCTGCGTTGCTTATCGTTGAAGATATTGTATGAACTACATTAAAAATTGTTGGCTAAAAGGACTTTTCTGTTCTTAACGTCTTTAAACGGATTAACAGATAAAACAATCATCAATAATCTAAAACAAAAAAGTATTACCTTCGAAAACATTTTTATGATTGTTTCAATTTTATAATTGGAAAAGTCGATAAACAGTATTTAATTTTATCTTCGAATAGAAAAGCTTCAACAGAATCAAAATCTCACCAGGTATTTCTTGCAGTGATATCAATCGCTCCAGAATCTGTGGTTTATCATCAATAAATGCAATCTTCAGTTCAATCAACAAGAGCTATGATCGGCAAGTATGTTTGATATGTAAAGTAAAAAGAATGATCAAATGGTAACACTTGGATAAGAGTGATTTAATTTTTTGGTATTACATGATACCAACCAGTCATCGAATTCGACACATCAATTTTACGTGCTCCACACCTCTGTATTAATGGGCTTGCACATACTTGAATCTGTAATTTTTTTTGAATCTCCAGAAACTTTTACAAAGTGATAATGAGTGACTTTAATCACATTTTATGCAGTGATGATTAGTTGTTAGTAATTTTTAACGGTTAACTAGTTTCGTTCTAGTAAAACTTGAAGTTCTAATTTTTATTTACTTTTGAAGATGCACAGCTTCAAAATGTTATACACCCATTTGGCACTAATGCCTCTTTTCAATGCTCAAATGGAGTCGTACCTGCTCAAATAGGAATTTCTGTTGATCTTTTAACAAATCTGCCACAACAAACAGAAGAAATCACTCCTGAATCATCAGTTTCTGGTGATAAGATGACTCAGTTCACTCGATTCGCAGCTGAAAGTTTATTTAATTATGTTGCTAGTTTTGCACGTGATAATTCAACATCTGATCCTCTTGTACCAATGTCAGCAATTAAAAGATGGTTTGATACAATGTTACAGAAACTCTCCCTTGATGCATCGTTTTGGCGAAAGTGAACAACTGTAAACATTATTTTTTATTCTTTTTTAAACACTGATAAAGTGCGTACAGATAATCTATTTTACTACGCCTCGTTATTTGTTCCGACTAAATTATCCATCAAAACAGAACGTATTAAACAACATACTGTGTACAAATTGTAATCCTAACCCAATGATGAAATAGCATTTAGTTGGTTACTTTTTTAATAGATATTAATTAATAGACTATTGCTATTGAATAACGTTCCACTCTCTATATTTATTTATTTTAATTCGGACAACACATTTAAGTGAATAATATTGTTTGTATTTAGATCGTCATCAGGCGTTACTCCAATATACATGGATATCTATAGGGGTATATGAGGAAATCAGATCCAAACAATTTTAAGTTAATGATCATAATGAAATAGACCATGTAATTATCCGTAATAGATGAAAAGTACAGGTTGATGATGGTTAAAAGACAGGTGTATCAGTAGTGACTAGAATAATAAAGCTTCTAACCAATGGTTGAAAATAGGAAGTAGATCAGACTTGGTTAAATAGATCTTAAAATAGTAACCACACAAGAGTTATTGAGATCATGTAATAAAAATTGTAAATAATCAGATAATGAAAAATACAAACGAAAGGTGACGAACGAGAAACAAGTACAAGATCTGAGCAAAGCATTATTAAAATTATTTACGAAGTCAAACCAACCCAAGAAAGGAGCAGGAGTGTCACGAATTTCTTCTGATTACATAAACTAGGGTAGTAGATTCGAATGCCTACAGCTTTTGTCAAATGTAGACGGGATCAAGCCCCATTGGGGGAAACCTAAGTTGTGCGATTGACCACTCGAAACGATTTGGTTCTATATACCGTATGACTAATCCAAACACTGGTACAAATGAGCACCAGAATAGATATACGCCACACAAACAAGGGAATGAAGTTGTGAAGTGATAGATGTAGGATGGATATGGTCAGAATAAGGAAAAATCATAAAAAGTAATTCAGTTCTTGGAAAAAGTGAGCAGGGATAAATCCCAGTTAGGGGGACGATTTACTTCTTCGAGGAGTGTAATAGAGAACTATAGCAAGATCGCCATTAGACTTCGTCCTAACCTGTTTCTGATAATATCTTAAGCCACTGAGTTGCGTCATCTCTTCATGATTCTTCAGTATCCTATGTATGCTCTGTTGCATTAAACATCAGGTATTGGTTAAAATGATTATTTTTTTGGCATAGTTGACTAATAGTTAGTCAAATTAAAAGGAACGACTGACTCAGCCAAATTGTAAAACAAATCTATAGCTCATTTGAATAAACATTTTGGGATTCCACACCAACATTCTCAATGATGAATCAGTATTTTGATGTTTCCCTAGTAAAAGTAAGATTTGATTGGATATTAAGTAAAGGCAGACGAGTACTAAGCAAATAGACTATTATTGTATATGAAAAAGAATTATACTTCCATTATATTCGGATTTTACATTGTGACTGATGCGTATTTCATCCCAATAAATTGTAGTTCTGATCTGTTGGCTGATTTACAATTGCTGATCATGGATAGGGAGTATTTTTATACCATCTAGTCAAGTGCTTTGATTATCTAGTATCGTGGTCTAGCGTCCCCAGTCATACTATACAGTTGATTATCTTGTATATTGTATCTGAAGTATTATCGCAGACGACAAAATAATTTAACTTCCATTATATTTATTTCTCAGCTGCCACCGTTAACATCAATCGAATTACCATAGGTAAGCATTCAGTTGATGTCACAGGTAACATAATCTACATTTCAAATAAATAAACATTATACTGGATTCCTATTACGATACATAGGTTATAAACCCCTTTAGCTGTCTGACTAGCCAGTCTACTCCAAAGTTCCTATCACTATCCACAAGACGAAACGTTAGTACAAATAAAAGGAAAATGAATGGGATTTTGTTAGCATGGTCACTTGGTTGCTAGAAGTGAAAAGTGACACCTCTCTTCTAAAATCTTAATTACCTATTCCTGTTATTCCATATATTCAGGTGACCTTATATACTGCTTTTCTATTATTGTTTCTATAACGAATGTGGAGTTACGCGTTGTGATTAACAATTAGAAATCTGACTGCATATCTTACACAGGAATCACTGATAATTTTATCCGATGCAAGCAGTTTCTTAAGCGTTTCAATCTTATTAAGTTGTTCACATTTAAGTTTTATGCACAACAGCTCTTAAAATACAGTGTCTTCTACACAAAATTTAGTAAATTAATAAATAAATCCCTATGTGCAGTTAAAACCCTAATCCAGGTTCTTCAGCACTCATAAGTTACGAATCTATAACTTAAGTTCACAAACCTTTAATAAGCTGCTCATTATCATGTTAAGGAACCTCCTTAACATTACTGTATGTCATTGGCGAACTCCAAGTTTTAAGCTTTCATGATTATTTATCTCAATAATTTCTAGCAGTAAACACTTAAGTAAACTTTTCTTGCTTATTAACTTGATACTGATGAAGTAATGTTAAGTGTACCAGCTTAAAATGTTCAATATTCTAGTCAAATCCTGCATTATTTAGTCTTTTTTGATTGAATCACCTTAAAAATAAACTTTACTTTGTGCCTAAGTCAATAAATGTTTTGACGAAAGTGTCATCTATAGACAAGCTTAAGAGAAGTTGAAAATGACCATATGATTATAAATTCACTTCCAGCCACTGAGCAGAGTTTACAGATATCACAAACATTTCGCAACAGAAATGATGAAACATTACAGTTAAGTGGTTAAAGAATTGGTCTTCCAAGGTTTATTATCAACTTTTCGATTTACGAATTCAGAAATATCGCAACATAACATCGTCAATCTAAGTATCAATTTATTCATAATGACGATTTTTTACTAAATCATTCTTATACCTGCAAACTTCTTAGAAAACTTATCATCGCCTATGAAATCCTTATTAATAAATCCGATGAAGAATTCCGAAGAGACAACTATAAGATTACAATCTTTGTCTCTATATCAATATGAAGTCATGAGTAAAAATAGTGATCTATTTCAGCATTCCTGATTCACTAGGTCGCGCTTTATTCGGTGAGGCACTAACAAAACAATTTCTTTCTGGGTTTACCACAAAGTTTATGTGTAAATCTGTGAGTTCTCTATACGTTTGACACTATTACTTTTACTCTGATTACAAAAGTTTTCACTAGCCACTCTAAACTTTCTGAGCACTATAAAAAACTACTTAGACTGTTCATTTTACTTGAGGTAAGTCAAAAGTCATCCATTTTGAGATTTAGCGTAAAAAACCTGATAGTCATTTTCTCGACTCTCACTGGATCATTCCTATAATATAATTCTATCGATATTTTATAACGATCCAGTTAAAACAAGTTTTTATTTAGTTCTTGTTTTAAACAATTCACAATATCACTGACTTCTGCCATTGCCCCAATACCAGTCTCTCCACAAATTAACGTCTTCTGAACAGGATCTATGCATTTCCAATGAAGTCTACCAACTAGACGTTCAATTTGTTCATGAGTAAATGGATGCTGCCACATTAAAGTATTCATAGCAGGAGCAAAATATACTGGTTTATTGATAATGTTTTGTTCATTGGGAAACCACCATGCACGTACAAGTGTTGTAAGTAGATTATCAGCTAGTCCATACGCCACCTTTGCCATTGTATTAGCACTCAATGGAGCTACTAGTAGTATATCTGCCCAATTTCTAAGCTATAATAATAAAGTCATTAGAATCAAATAATCATAAATTCATACCTCAATATGTAACACAGGATCACCACGTTTTTTCCATCTTGTCCATTCGTCTATGTCTTTGTACACAGGGACACTTACAGTGTCTACTGAAAAAAAGTTAAGTGAATTGTCTGTAACAACTAGACGAACTTCAAATCCTATTTCTAGAAGTTTTTCTATTAAACATGGTATTTTGATTGCAGCAACACTGCCAGTAACACCAAGAATCAATTTGTTTCTTAGTAATTTGTTTTCATTCATCACTAACAAGTAGAGAGAAGAATGATTTAACTAATTATATTCCCCAAAATGATAAATCAGACATGAGCTACTACCTCGTACAGTTGCAAAAAGCGTCTCCACACACCAATGACTATACCGATTATGTAATTCACAACATAGCACTTCAGAGAGACTAGCATATATTTGTCGAATAATTTAGAGATCGAACTTAGTAAAGTTCATCAAATATGAAAGTGATTTGTTATTGTCTATTTAGAAAGAAATGGAAGTAATCTCCAGCTTACAAACAACCTCAGAAAAATCCGGTGTTACTCAATAATATTCCGAACATAATTAACCTTCTAAGAGGTAGAATGGATCATGATGTTATTCCAATTGAATAATCCAGGTTCACTAAATGTTTAAATGTCTCCCGTGCCCTCCACTGTTAGGGATGCTGAGGAATATACCAATCATTATCATGTTAAGTCTAATGATGTCCTTGGATTCTAAATGGGTATTCCCTATTGGCCATTATTTATTTCACTCGTTAAATATTGTACAGATATTGTTTTCTATTTTTATGGTATGATGTGGTCTGTTTGGTTGGTATATAAACAGAGTTTGTTTGAAATATAACGATTCATAACTCAGAGGCTGTGACTTGCGTTCTCAGTCAGTCAGTCAGTAACAACGTAGAACTTCGTACGTACGTACATCAGTTCGAGTTGCCACACCACATTAGCACAGAGATGCAGTTGTCGATTCAAATCCCGTAGTGGTAGAGGTAATAAGAGTATAAGCAGTAATCGGGAAGATTAGGGTTTGGAGATGTTATTTAAAGAGTATAATCCAGTGAAATAAATTTGGAAAGAGGAAAAAAGGGACATGAAGAATTCAGGAGATTAGAAGTTGGGAGAACACAAATAGTGGATGCACCTGCGCTATTGTAAACGATTTTGAGCCATGTCATTTAGGGTCTCTAACCATCAGTTGCTATCATCTCGTGGTCCCCAACCAGGTAGTCTACACCTACCAACATGACTCAGTCCACTTGTCAGTGACTTCACGGACTTGTGCCATGTTTTGGTTTGGCCGCCTCTAGCTTTCTTCCAACGTACTCCTATACCACTGAACATAGCACGTCGAGGCAGTCGGTGGATGGGCATACGTAACATGTGTCCCAGCCATCTCAACTGATGAAGTTTCACTACTTCATCAATTGATTTGCCATCTTTACCTAGTACTCGTTTCCTAACAACTGTGTTACTTACTCGACGGTCCCAGGATATACGAGCAATGTTTCGAAGATACCTATGATCGAATACTAGTAACCTATGAATATCCTCTACTCTTAACGACTTGCGTTCTAGACTCAACTGGCTGGGCTAGACAAGGAAGCGGGGCCAATCGAGACTCTAGGTCGTCCTTACGTGTTTTACGTATCACTGATTCGATCGATAAATACGCTGCTTATCAAAACCTGCAATCCACACGTTACAACATTCACTTTTCTAAATTTTCGCGTGTTATGGTGTTATAAGGTTTAACAATGTGAGCTGATGTATACTTGTACCATGTTCTATTTCGATAGTGGTTGGCTAATTTAAATCTCTACTTTAATGTCACTATTTTCAACACAGGATTGACTAAATAGTGGAGTGGTGTAGTAATGGTTAAGGTTTTCGACTTTCAGCTACTAAGTCCAAAGTTAGAATCTCACTTTGCCTGCTTTCATTTGGGAAATTTGATAGTATTACTAGCCTTCACACATCGAGTATAGCTTAAAGCTAAGTGCTTGGAGGATGAGTCGAAATTCACCTGAAAATAAGCATCGCTTAAATTGTAAACATATAATTAACGTTTATTTCCTCCGAATTCCAGAAGTAATTCACTAACTAAAGTCAGCAGAGAAATACTTTCGATCGATAATATTTTAGAGAACCGATTTCACTTATCTTGTATTATAAATACTCATTTGAATTAGTATTATTCATGTTACTTTGTAGAATCATTATAACTAGCATAGTACAGAATCCCAGTTATCAATTTATTTAAGAAAAAAACTAGTTATAACACTGAAAAGATAAGACAATAATCGTGAGAAGCAACAAAACACATTGATTTACATCCATGACAAATTACGATGGGAAGCATATGCTCATAAAAGACAATAAACCAATTCCACTAAAAATAGAAAATGTATAAATCTGCTAAATAGTAATTTATTTATACAAACTTTGATCAAACAATACAAACCATAATTCCTAATTGTAGGGTTGAAAATGTCCAATAGTAAATCAAAATTTAAGGCACATACATGACAGAGTGAGAGACAGAGCATAAGTTCGATAAGAAATGAACCTACGACTGAGTTCACAAGCCATACGTAATTTTTTTTTAGAAATTAAGCTCGGTGGTTTTTTCCAAATAAAACAAAATACGGGTAGGGTAATAAAAGATCTCGACTGTGGAGAAGGAGAGCATGATTAAGAGTATGGAATGAAAATCACCTACTGCTCTTTTATGTATACACAAAACAACCTGGTGAAAGAAAACTGTGTACTATAGATATACAGAATAACAAATGATCGGCCACTCGATATATATATATATATATATATATATATATATAATACATAGAACGGGACTATGGCAGGATCGACAAGGACATTGGACAATTAATATTCAGTTTGAATGGCGGGGATTTTAAAATAAATCTTCAAGATTCACTGAGGCAGGTCCAGCACGTTTTGTGTATCGTCTATAACGTTTTAAATCAGTATCTTCAGCTGCTCGAATTCGATTTGCTTCTTGTTGATCTGCAAGAAATTTCTGAAATGGATATAAAAAATTATTTTTTTAAGATTTAAATATGTATCTATGTAAAACTGCGGGTGAGGAAAGTCAGCTCCTCCTCTAACGATGCTCTAGCATGACAACGCATATACAACCACTACCAGGGAAGACTTACTTACTGCCTTCTCATGGACGGCGTGTAGTTTACACTATTGAAAGAACGAAAAGCAGATGTTCCAAGCTTAAGCCGAGTTGTTGGGGACAGAGAATCCACCTAGGGGAGTTGCAAAACTCTGATTCGAAACAAACGGTGCACATGAGCCCCATAATCTTGAAGGGAAAATGGCGTATGAGCTTATTGTTAGTCGCCTGCTTCCATGGGACTGCATCTCCTAACGTTGCTTCACTGATTTAAGGATTAGACCTCTAGGTCAAAGGCTCGGGGAGTGGGCTTCCTAAGAAAACCACTTGTTTTGGTTCGGGAACTCGGACAGTACACAAAAATTGAATGTCAACAACTTCGTGTAGTACATATACATTTTGGTGGCACTTTGTACCAATGTTTATGTGTTTAAATAAAACATGTGATTAGTAATAGATTTTAGCATTAGACGGTTTTTATTCATTCTAAGACTGAACATTATGCGTGTCAACCATGAAATAGTTTTAAAAATAATGAATGATCAACGAATGAAACATGTCAAGAAGTAAGTAGGATCAGTCGCATCAATAAACTCTTCTAAGGAGAACCTAGTTCACTACAAAGAGACTTATTCTAGAACGTAAAACAAGTAGAAAAACACAGATGTTAACACAAGTAGCCAACTGACCTACTATGCTCGTATTAATGAAAAACCGAACGCACACTTTCCGCTGGCTTTTTACACAGAAGTCCATCTTGGTTTTTGACAATGACAAAAAACATTTGACTCAAATAATTTGACAGGTCAGAATTAAATATTTCTTATCTGTTGATTAACAAGCGCGAGTTTATCAGGAAGCTAGGGTGACGAAAAGAGCCTGTCCAAAAAACATTATCCTTGTACAAAAGATAGTAATCTTCGTGTGCACGTCTAATTTAGTATTTCTGCGCATCATGACTACTTTCGCGAACACTGCAAAAGCGATATAAAATGTCTATTGAGTTTCAATTCCCATTAGTTGCTTCCGAAAAACCTTCACCAACAACTATTATTCACTTGGATTACTAACCACAGTGCATCTCTTGTTTGACAAGGAAATTAGGAACCATTCAATAGACACTCCGCTTAACTAGCTCAATCGGAACAGTGGTCAGTGGCCATTGGATTAAAAAATATGGAGCTAGACAATAATCCAGGAAAATAAATGCTTCCACATGGATAGAAAACTTGAGACTAGGGTAAGGGCTTAACACACTGAATGCCTACAACGATATAAATCATTTACCAAATATAGATCTATACACTCGCTTTTTAGTCACATGTCTTGTGTGGAACAACTAATAATACAGTCTGTCTATAAAAAACAAAACACGAGAATAGTGGGGTACAGGTGTGTGATCTAAGGGCTGCCAAACCAAGATATGACATCAGTCCATGAAGTTAGTGACTACTAGATTGATCGCGATGGCACAAATGTATTCATTTTCTGTCCCATATTAAATCACGAGATTTGGAATTGTCGTTTTCTTTTTCCATTCCAGCAATTCATTCTTTCTGTTCGAATTTCCACTCATAATGATACTACTTCTACTACTCTAGTATCTGTCTTGATATATGGTGTATTGACTCGAATAGATGTACCGATGTTTGACTCATTATGAACTACTAGTTTGAAGCTGACTGTTTCGACCACTAAGCTATCGGTTCACTGATTATGATGACGAACATACAACGTACACTCGTCCAACACACTGTACACCAAAAATTCTCATTCGACTTATTTAGGTAACAAAACAATAGCACATTGAATTAGGAAAAACTACAAACCTGATAATTCTCATTAATCCAAAGTTTTTGTGATAAATACTTTGCTTGTTGTTTTTCGCCGGCATAGTCCCATTCACTCTCACTTATTTTTAACCGACGTCTAGTGATAAATATTCGTGCCTCTTCGTCATATTCCCTACGAAGTATCCAATACTTTACAACCCAATAAAGCATCCAACGTAACCATATATAACAAGTCCAAGGGAAAAAAATTATTCTAACCAGTAGAACACGTTTTAGGCTGGGTCGACAACAATCACCTCTGAAATGAAATACAAAAGAAAAAAAGAGAAGAAACTCTCCTTTGAGTGACCAATTTAACGGGGAAAAATGTGCTCACCAATAAAAATATAGTGTTAGGTTTGCTTTATCACTCTACTTCCTTCTGTGCATCGCTCTATACTACTTATTAATATTCAGTAACCCGTTCCATTTCTGATAACTTTTGAGCATATTTTACTTGCGCCTGTTACTCCCAATGGAGCATAGGCCGCCGACCAGCATTCTCCAACCCACTCTGTCCTGGGCCTTCTTTTCTAGTTCCATCCAATTCTTGTTCATTTTTCTCATATCTATCTCCATTTCTCGGCGTAATATGTTCTTTGGTCTTCCTCCTTTCCTTTGTTTAGCTTTGGGGATTCCATGTGAGGGCTTGTCTTGTGACGCAGTTCGGTGCTTTCCTCAATGTGTGGCCTATCCACTTCCAGCGCTTCTTCCTGATTTTTTCATCCGCTGGGATCTGGTTTGTTCTCTCCCACAGTACGTTGTTGCTAATAGTGTCCGGCCAACGGATCTGAAGTATTTCGCGTAGACAATTGTTTATAAACACCTGTATTTTCTGGATGATGGCTTTCGTAGTTCTTCAGGTTTCTGCCCATACAGTAGAACTGTCTTGACGTTTGTATTGAAAATCCTGACCTTGGTGTTGGTTGACAGTTGTTTTGAGTTCCAAATGTTCTTCAGTTGTAAATATGTTGCTTCTGCTTTGCCGATCCGCGCCTTCACATCTGCATCAGACCCAAAATGTTCATCAATGATGCTGCCCAAATACGTAAAGGTTTTTACATCTTTCGAATCTTCTCCGTCAATTTTGATTGGATTGGTGCATTCTGTGTTGTATCGGAGAATCCTGCTTTTCCCTTTGTGTATATTGAGATCTATTGCTGCTGCCACACTGTTCGTCTTTTCCTGCATCTGTTGTTGCGTTTGGGATAGAAGGTTTTGAGCATATGGTGCGACGTATATGTCATCATAACATTCGTGAGTATGGACACACGTTGACAATATTCACCTTATTATTTTAATTGTATCCTCTTAATACTTGCAACAGATATTTTCGAATTTTGCTTTATGATAACAGTTTCTATATTTTGATTCTCTTTATTCTCATTTTGACATCATCTGCCATTATGATCTCGACACAGCTATTAGCTATCACATAACGTATGTTGTTATGACTTCACATATCCATTTTAATAAACATTTTTATGATCGTCTACGAGCTTAGTAAATACTGTAGAGATCTTATATAGTTCCGTAATTATAGTGCCATTTTTACAGACAGTCTTGAGTTTTGGTTTGTCAAATTTGACAAGTCACTTAATCGTGCTGTTGAAGCTTTGATGAGGAAATAACATTGAAAATTAAATGAAAAACGAAACGAATAACTGACTAGAACATCAGAAGATCTCGAATAGAAAACTAATAGGTTTCAATTCGTTGGATCATTTCATCAAAACGGTAAGAAAACTAACTATCAGAATAATGATTAAAACTAATCATCTTAACAACCACTGAGCGACAGATTCACACTTTAAAATATACAGTATGTATCTCCTGTACCATCAAACCTGATGTTGGATAAAACAAGAGTCGAACTAAAGGGGTTCCTAATCAGATCACTGCAAAATAAAATTCCAATTTATTAAAATACGAGAAGGCAGTGAGTAGAACGTCCCTGGCAGAGGCTGTACACGCGTGGCCATGTGAGAGAATTTGGAGAGGAAGAGCTAACTCTTCACACTCTCGGTCGTACCACGGCATTTGAACGTTATGGATGAAAAACATTGTACCTCAAATCTGTGTAGATGTAAAAATAGAACATTTTATACTTAACCATATTCTATCTTTTTACTAACTTTTATGTACGATGCAGTTTGCTGTGACATAAAATGTGAGCCCTGAAAAGAGAAAACATGAGTGGGCTTAAAGTAACTGGTCATAGGTATCTTTGATATATTATTCGTAAGTGAGCATTACTAAGGTTACACGTAGGGGATACTAGGTAAAAGGACAGAGTCGATTGAAGAAGCTAAAAACTTTCGCTGACTAAAGTAGTTAGGTAATATTTGTTACATAAGCCCATCCACTTCCTACTTTGACGTGTCATGTTACTATTAACAGACAGTTGAGGAAATATTAGAATTGGACACATGAGAACTTTAACTGTTGGATTGAGCCATGTAGACATCCTTGTTGTCATTATCTATGATTAGATATATTGGGTGACATGAAGATGTGGTAGTATTTCTTAATCTTTAGATTATGTATTATTTCATTTTCCACTCTTTTTATTACTTCACCTTATGCTTCTTTAAGATGGTATATTTCTTATATTTGGATATTTTTATTGCTGTTGAGGACATTAGTCCTTTGCGTGGATGAAGTGACGTGTGGCCATCTGGACTGCATTAAGGTCTTAAATTGACTTCGGCTAATTGATAATCTTTCTGGAAGATAATATCTATTACAGCGATAATAATTGAATGAACTTAAATTCATGTTATTTGGTCAAGTTTCATAAGATTAATAATCAATGATCATTATTACTTTATATATATATATATAAATTGAGTATTGATAAATCTATTAATTGAACGCTAAATCCGATTTCCTAATAATTTTAAATAACCTCAGGTTGAATCGATAATGCAACTTGAGTACAAGAGAAAAAGTTCAAAGTGTAAAATCAAAACAAAAAAAAATTGGTGATAAGGATCGATTGGACTCCAAAAATTAATTAAATATGATTTAGGAATACACCATCGCTACAGTTAGATTAACGGTCAGATTTTTCTAAATTGAACTGAGTTATATTTAATTCTTTTTAAGATGTGAACGAATAGTACACACGATTTTTAAAAAAAAGTCAATTTCATATGATATTTGCATTCTAAACGATTAAGCAATTACTCGCCATATCTCCATACAAAACAATATGAATTTTATGCATTTGTTTAAATGTGTAGAGAGAATTTTATTTATGATCACTAACTAGTAAGCTTTTATCAGTTAATTGTCATCTTAATACATTTAAACCACATTCAACTCAGAGAGAGCAAACAGGCTACCTACTTTTATCAAGAGAACACGATTAGTATAATGGAAACACTTATTATTATAACCAATTGTACCAGTGATTGTTTTACTGTACTTGTTTGTTTAACTGTACTAAAAATATACTTTCTTTCGTTGACTATGACCTTGAATGCTCTCGGTTATGTTCAGTAGTTCAACTTGTACTGTTTGGTATGATCTCGGTATTCTTTCGATACCACGAGATTACCAACAAATATATCTTATTACAACCGTCAACCGCCTTCTAGTTTTTCACCTACGAAGTAGTTTCAGTGCAGTGGGTGATCATAGTCAACGGTGACTCGACGCCACGCTACAACCCTACACATTAAAACCACATTCAATTCAAAGGGAGCAAACAAGCTACAAATCTTCATTTCACAATAAAATCTCACTGATATGAGGTTTAACAAGTGTTAAAATACAGCTCTCTCTCTCAAAGATTAAAATGTTTTTTCTTCAGTTCGTGATAAGCTTTAATTTATCTGCTAACTAATGAGTTATCTGATAAAAAACTGAAATTAATTATTAAAAATATAAACCATAGAAGGATATTTGGTTTATGGATTTTTGGATAGTTGCAGATAATAAGTGGAAAATTTTTAATCTGAGGCACTGCATAAGTTGAGCTGCCAATATCAGTCTACTTGCTCCTCAAAATATCCTATGTGTTCAGATCACTAATTTTCAAATACTAAAATATAATAGCATCTTTATCTTGGGATTCTGAACATTAAATCTTCAAAATTTAATTATCAATTGTCAACATAGTCACCATTTTCATCAAGCCAATGTCATTATCTTCTATCGAATTTACCTGTGTTAAGTGTATCATTATTATGAAGTTTACTTTATGCAAATCGCGTAGGTCAGCCAAGAATGTTGATGGAAACATATGGAAATGATTTGTTAATTTGTGGGGTTACACTTAAACCAACTATTGTTATCAGAAACTGTAATTTTCAATCAAGTCAATGGTAAAAGTCCTTCATTAGCTTCGCCAGATAGATTCGGTTAAAAATAATAGAAAAACACGGATCCAGAAATAGACAGCTTCATTTCGTATCAAGCCTGTTTGGTGTAATATTACAACAGATTACAAATATATTTCTCAGATGCTAAAGGAAAATATTTATAAACTTTCTTGTTTATCGCGGACGTCGAAAATGTACTCGCATGGGTTGTGATACAGGGTTGTATTATTGCTGTCGCCAAATGTCGTGGTACGGCCAAGGGTGGGGAGTCCGCTCTCCCTTTCAAAATACTCTCACTTGACCACTTGTATACAACCACTACCACCAAGTGCATGATGGGAATAAAAAACACGAAAAAAGATAGGAATTTGTGCAAAATATGAATACAAACATACATATATTGAAACCCATTAAAAGTGATACGTATTACGCATGGAAAGAAGAAAATACCTGCAAAACAACCGTTACGAATCCAAGAAACAAGAAAAAAAGAAAAAGCGAAGCATCCAAAAGTGCATTAGATACAACGAAAACTAACCACTTTCAATTTATTTACCGAAGTTCAACAGTCTCCTTTAATATATCCCGAAGTAGTTGTTCCTCACGTTCTTTCAGTTCATCACGTGTTAAACGTCTGCCAACTTCATATTTGGATATATTTAAACGACCATCAGCAATAGCTATCTGTTTTGCTTTGGCACGATGCTTTGGATCTTTCAGTAAATAACTTAATGCATGATTATAACTTGTCCATTGACCAGCATACTAAAAGAAATATAAACAGCAAAGTTGTAAGCACTTTTTCTCAGAAAAAAGAGGAATGATCAGTGAACGAACTGATATGACAGAGTAAGAATTAACCATGATAGTCAGACATTCATTATAATAGACAGTAAATGATCCATCATTACTATAACCTCTAATCATTTATTTATTAACTGTTAACCGTGTTTACTCCCATTATGTTGTGAGGTGGTCCGAGTCTGATACTTACATATACGCTTCACATATGTATTCGAAAACCAGTTACCTGAATGAGAAAATCAAGAGTGAGTAGAGAGCTTTTACTCGTTAACTGAATCGATAATGTTATGCACAAGTCACTCATAAATTTTAGTAGTTGAATTCGTGAGCCGATCTAATCAAGATAATCACTGCAAACCTGGAAGCACTAAACGGCTGTTTCTTCCTAGTATGGGGCTCCTCAGCTGTGCAAATCTACGACCCCACATGCGAGACGCGAACCCAGGACCTTCAGTCTCCACCTCAAAAAATGGATGAAGGGTTGCTCAAGATCATGAATCGATTGGAGTTAGACATTAACACTGTTGGATGCCGGTTCAATGGTCTGGAAGTTAAGCGTTCGCGTGTGAGGCCGAAGGTCCTGGTTTCGAGTCTCGCGTGCTGGGTCATGGGTGCGCGCCGATGAGTAGTCTTATACTACGACGAGATGGTAGTTCAGTGCTTCCAAGTTTCCAATGCTGGTCTAGCTTGGATCGACTCATAATTTTTATAATTTAAATTACTACAGTCTCCACAAGTCCCCATTTTGATCATTCATAAATATAGAAACATTTTACTCAAAAAATTAAACCACGTTTCAATCAATAGTGCATGCCTGTTTCCTCAGAAATTGACCAGTAGCGTTTCTAACATTATTTGGTCTATCTGATTGGACCAGATTATCACCTTTATCTGTTGAAAAATAAATCTGTTTTGAATTCAATTATTGTGTTAAATACTTTGCATATAAGCATGTTAGTTTATTAGAACAGAAAATATATTCTTTTAGTCAGCAGTTCCGCCTTTTGATTTGAAAACATGGGAGACTTACGTCAGATTTATTGAACATTATAACAGATTTACTACGGTGGAAATTCTTGGAAGAGCCCTAAAATATCCTTCGTCAAAATCTCTAAAGACCCAGAAACACGAGGAAACGTTTGAGTCAGTCGCCGTTGAGCAGGAGCTTCGCCGAAACATCTAGAAAATGTAGAATCACGTGTTGTGGTTTTGATTGAATATTAACCTATACTGCTACTATATTTAGTACGGTTCTATGAATTTAAAGAAGCCCAGGGTCATGTATAACTCTATAAATACCCTCATTTTTTCCATATATGAACTAACTTTAAGTAAAGCTTTTGCTCGCAGCCCGTTCATCCTCACTATTGTTCGAGGTGTCGTGTACAAGTAGTTTGGGTTATCAAAACCGGCCAGGAAGACAGTCTAGGCAAATCAGTAGCATGATTTATCAGAAATTAAGACGGTTATATATATATATATATATATATATATATATATATATATATATATATATATATATATATATATATATATATATATATATATATATATATATATTGCCAACCAATTAGAAAAGTCATGCACAACCAACAGGTCAAGAGAGGAAGAAAGGTAAACAAAATAAATATGCTGAATGTACACGGATACTGATGATGTTCACACTTAGATGTGAACCCAATAACCATTGGTTTTAAAAGATACAACTGTGAGTCATAATAATAAAGATACAGTTACAAGAAATATTACGTAATTAAGATGATGTTTATTTGTAAACGAGGTGGTTTCTAGGGCTGTTATAGGTATAAAGGGGGTTATAACTTCTCGAGCGCTTACATTGTGGAATAATACTTTCTGAGGGACTTAATAAAAAAACTAAGTTAGAGGCAGTCTTGACGACCTGAGAGTATTTAATGGTCCAAGATCTGACTCCAGTTCGGTCATGTGATTACCGTTATTGAAATAAACATGTCAACAATTCTCGTATATAGTCAACGACCCGAAAATCGTGCTAGCGGATAACGGAATTAAATAAGTCCAACACGAGAATGGATTTTGAATACGCATATTCTGTACAGTCGTCGGTCGGAAAGAGAAGCAAAACAATCACCAACTGCTTGAGGTCGGTCGCGCATACACTTTTTGTTAGTACTTTTACTTGTTACCTCTGTATGTTTTAAGAATTTACGGCCAGTTTTAGGATCAACCTTCTCTAGCTAGCTCCTTTAGTTGTGGAAAGACAGTATCACCCCAGATGATGATTGTTTAGAGGGACCACTGAACTGTTGTCACGCCTCCGTACAGTCAGTAGTACAACTTGACACTTAGACGACGAGTTTAATGCTTTTAGTTCTAAAGCTCTCTAAGCAACTTACCTGAGATGGTAGGATTTATTGAAACAAATATTCCAGTCAATATAGCTCAATTAATTCACCACGATATCCAAGCCCCACCACTATACATCGAGGTAATAGCTTGAGGTGGGTAGCAAACATGCAAATTCCTTACAAATAATTACAATAATCACATCTCAAACACATTTCTAATACAACAGTAATAATAAAACTTACTTGTATCGATGATATAATAAGAAGAATTGATATAATAACCAATCGAACATCAACTTTTGTCGAAACACGACGTCGATAATACCGATAGTAATGATAGTACATTTGATCTGGATTATCAAGCATATAATCGTATTCTGTTCGTTGTTCTGGATCACTAAGAATCTGAAATAATAGGGGAAAAATGATTTTTTTAAATAAACAAGTGGAAAATCTTAATTATATTCCGTAAGTTACTTATGGTTTAAGTTGAAATAATATGAATGTAAATCATATTAACTTAATGATGCTTTGAATATTTCACTATTGTGAGTACACTTGAGATGAGGTTTTGGGTATTCCATGAAGATGGTTAATTAGTTGGTGATAATATAAACCTTTTGTTGATTAAAGCCCGTTTAATATGTCGTATACATCACATGATTCCAAGAAGTCAGAAACTTGTGAGTGGAAACAACCGTATTCTATGAGAAAAAGACTTTAGGTATCATGCGTCGAAATCGGTTGCAGTGAATCAGATGTACTCATGAAGGTATAAATGTAAACATTTTGATGTTCCAAAATGATGGAAGAATCGTGAGACAGACTTTTGAAGAGCATAAACTACGATATCATCATACAGTGTTTAAATTTGTTCTTGCCACATATTGATATTAGTTAGGGAACCATGGGAAAACAGAAACTAACAGAACGTTGTTTTGTTTTGGTTTAACTCTCTTCGGGAGTGGACATCCATAACTTAGGCCAAAGATGCAGTAGCAAACATGTTGACTTTAGACCAGGAAGTTGGAATTCAATGGGCCATATTCCCAAATTCAACTAATAGGTGTTACACAACGCGACATCGTCAAGTATCACTCGCTCCTAAATGTTTCACTCTTAACATGGTTGGAGTTCAAAGATCCTTTAAACAATTCAGTGCTTCTTTAGATTAGCAAACTTTAAATATAATTTTTTAAATTACTTATTAAACATACCTCATAGGCAGTGTTGATTACACGGAAGCGTTCTTCCGCTTTTATTTTATCCTCAGTTGTTTTCTGTCTATCTGGATGATGTTTTCTTGCCATTTCATGATATGCTTTACGAATTCTATTTTTATCATCATCTCGGGTAACCTGTAAAACTAACATTTCCCCCCCCCCAAAAAAAACAGACGAAATTAAATCTCAGATGCGCTAATATAATATGGATATCAAAAACTGAGATAATTTTAAGTCTGACAAGCTGATAAGCGTTATCTGATACCTTAATACAATTAAGTAACATAGTATAGACTTGAATACTAGACACTGACCTACACCTCTTAGTGAGAAAGCTGGTGATATGAACCAACCAGTCAGATGGTGCGGGATTCGAACACGTAACTCAATGGTTGTACGTTACATGTCTTAAATACTGAGCAACCATTATTTTTAAAAAGGTTAATTTTGATTGAATATACTGTAGTGAACAAGAACACGGGTGGGGACAATCGATTGTATTTAGCACAAAAATTACAGACTATCTCAATAAAATGTGAATACCATAAAGTCAATCGTCAATTCGCAAAATATCATTCGATCATGTCAAACTGTACTGTTCCCGTTGCAAACACTAATCCATTGTACATGCGTTTTCTTACAATTCCATTGTGCTCTTGCTCTTCCTTTCTTGATCTTCGCCATCTTCTGCTGCCGGACATTACGTTTTTTTAACGCACGTTATATACTACTTATATAAGTAGCTCACACCACAATACCAATACCTAACACTGTGAAATCCGGAAAAAGATTAATACCGTGGAATAAATGTAAACACTGTTTATTACATTGTTGAAAAGTGTAGAAAAAGTCCGAACCCAGCACCTATCACTTTAGATCCTAGCACAAGTTATTTACTGAGCTAATAAGTCTGACGAGCTACTAACCTGTTCAATAAGTATGAAGTTTATTTGTAAGGATTTGGTATTTTCCCACTGCCGATATTGAAAACTATGAAAAAATTATAAATACAAACCTTTGCCTATTAACTTATTCCTATCTGATATACTATCACTGCTTACATAACTGACATACGAAAACTCTATAACCACATTTTTGATTACATTGATACAAAATCAATAACTCAAGAAGAAAACATTTACATTGATTGATCATTGAGTGGTTGGGTTGTACTTCATTATACTAAACAACGGATGGCAATGAGGTTAAAAACAATTGTCTGTTAAATCTACTAAACTAATTATCAATCATAAGAAATGATTTTAGAATATTGTAGTGAACGAGAACACAAGTGGGGACAATCAAATGTATTTGCATACAAAACTACAGAACATATTAGTAAAATCTGAGAAATAAACAGTAAATACTTCAGTTGCAAAATGTCAATCGTTTCAGACTTCGTTGTTCTTTAGGTTCCACACAAATCATTCTTTGTTCTCGTTCTTTTTTCTTTGATCTTCTTAGCCTTCTGCCTGAATGCATTTCACTTTCGATCGATGATACATACTACTTATATCTGTCGGTATCAGTAGCACACACCACAATATATGCAGAGTTTCAAAAGAGGACATATTGGTTTCAATGTTACAAAATTTGATGAAATATTAAGTCTCTGATTGAGTTCACTGAAATACTGATCTCTAATGAAATAATACCACTGACCCATTCAGGCTATTACTGATTTATTTTATTTATTTATTTGAACACATAAATATTGGTACAAGAGGGCACCAAATATATATGCGCCACGCAAAACAATCAATGGGGAGAGAAAAAAAGAAGAACAATGAAGACCAGATTAGTGTAAGGCAGTGTAATAATAATAGTGGGCGAAACGAAAAGGTGCAATCAGGAGAAATCCTTCAGTTACGGAAGATACAACCACTTTTTATGAAGAAGGTAAAAGAAGGTTACAGCAGGATCGCCACTGGCTTCTATTCTGAGCCATATCTGATAACGTCTCTAGCCACTGTGTTGCACCATCTCTCAGACCCCAGCCAGGGAATCGTGAAGGAACAACACAAGCCAGCACTTTGCAGCTTTCTTTCATATCACGACACCATGTCATACACTGACCACCTCTTTGCTTTATCCAACCAGTCCCAGAGTCGGGAAATAATGCACGATGCGGAGTTCTCTGGGACGACATTCGCAGAACATGTCCAAGCCACCGAAGTCGATCAATATTAATGGTGTAGAATGTACGCCTTACGCACGTAATAAAGGGAAGTTATTAAAAAATCTCACTCCAATGTCTTATCTGTCGATCAAATTATTTTTAAATAAACGGAATACACCCATTGAAACATAAAATAAGAAAGAAAAATTGTTTCAGCGAAGAGTTCACTTTTCGTCAAATTCATTTTCAAAGCTGTACAATCCCAAATATATGTAATATATACTTAGTTCTTTTTTCACGATGATAACAATTATAATAATAGTGATAATAAAATTCTGTTAAACATAGTTTTACTTTTGTTACCAACCAATGTGATCTTTTTGTTTTTGAATAAACATATGAATTTTCGATACTCAACTACATTATCTCTTGCTCTCTTCAATCAATTTATGCCAATGATTTATATTTCAACTAAGAGCTAGACATGAATTATACACAATGCAAAACATCTAATTAATTTTAATGAAATATAAAAGAAAATAACACATTCAATACAATCAATATGGGGGGAGAGAGAGAGAGGAGAGGTTATGATCGATTAAAAATTATCAATAAGTTGTTCAAAATTAATTTTTGTTTACAAAATAATTAATAAGAAGACTAGGAATAGTGACAACATTCTACATTCCTAACTGTTATAATTAAAAACCAGGTTAATTAATTTTTTTTGAGGAAAAAAAAACAACAAAACTGTAAAACATAAAAATTAAGTGTACAAAAGTTAGAACAAGGTGTGACTGTTGTCATTTATTATTATTATTATTATTATTATTATTATTATTATTATTCAACTGATTCAAGAAATAAAGATTAGTAATCTTAGCTTTTAACTACACAGATAGGGATACTTAGTTACAACGTAGGACCAGGCAAATATATGCATCGGTCAAAGTTGTCACATCTCATTAACACAGCAAGACGAACACCGGATTCATAGAAGTAGTTAACTCAATGGTGTAATATATAAAGGGAAGATTTAATGTACGGATATAGTACAGATATAAAGAATTAGTTCGTAGAAAGAAAGATATGAAATAATTTTAGTCTCATAGTTTAAGGGAAGACAAAGAGTGTATACACCGACGCTATTGTGATCGATTCTGAGCCATTTCACCCAGAGTCTCCAACCATTGGTTACGATAGTCGCGCGGACCTCAACCAAGTAGTCTGCATCTACCAACATGGCTAAGACTAGAAGTTAGCGACTTCAAGGACTGATGCCACATTTTGGTTTGACCACCCCTAACATAGTGATACTATCCAGTTGCCTAAACTTAAACAGAAGAGACAGAACTCGAACTTACGATATAGTAGTTGAAAGTTGAGCGTTTTAAACATTGCAACACAGCTCCATGGCTATTATTAACACTGACATATTGAGAAAAAAAAGATACAATATTCCTAAACTTGAATGACTAATTAAGTAACTCGGAAATATTTATTCAACATTATCGATTAATATAACTTATTTATCGAGTACAGGTATATATATGGAACACCATGAACACTGGTGACATTAATTGGTTAGTTAAACTTGATGTGAACAGAGAAACAAGAAACTTTGACCAACTACGGAAGCTATTTTTGAGGACGTCATTTCATTTACTTTAAAACTCGTAAAACAGTAGCATTTATTTTTGGTCCTAGTTTATTTTACAGACTATAAGCTTTCGTCTGATGTAAAATTCACTGCCACAACCCTTTCTGCTTCAAAGCTATTGTAATTCCCTCAAGATACTCGAGCCCATGTGCACCATTGGTTTCGAATCAGGGCTTTCCAACTCCCCTAGGTGGACTCTCCATGTCCACCAACTCGGTAAAAGAGCCAGACATTCGCTTTTCATCCTCTCAATTTCGTCAACAACACCCCCGCCACGAGAAGGCAGTGAGTAGGACTTCCCTGGCAGAAGCTATATACGCGTGGCCATGTGAGAGCATTTCGAGAGAGTGAGCGGACTCTACCCACTCTCGGCCGTACCAGGGCATTTGGGGGCTGTATTAAACAATAAATCTGTCTTCCCCACATGAATTCTCATTCACTACAATATTTGTGCAGCACGATAAAATTAACAAGACCAATAGTAGAAGAATCAAAATAACTATATTATAAACAATACTGAGAAAGTCTAAATCTGTTAAGGGCAACAGCTTAATAGTTAAAGCAATCAAGCCATCTATTTCAGTTTGATCAACCGGATAATAACACTAGTTAACAGATATAAAAGTGAACTTTAACGTCTAGCACATACACCTTTGGTTGTTAGATGAGTGAACTACTTTTAAAGATTCTTTTTATCGGTACTGTCAATAATTACTTAAATTATGAACGCATTTTAATTTGGTTGCATTTTTGTATACATCTAATTGAAGTACATCGTTAAAATAATTTTTAGCTGTTTACAATTCATAAATTTTACAATTACTTCAACTATAAGATTTTTGTTGCATATTGTTTTCTAATTGATTTAAGTGAACTTCACAATAGGAAATATTTAACAGAAAATTGATTTAACAAATAATCTAATTCTTTGGAATTATTTACCTAAGACAAAAAAACATGAAGGACATGTATATTATTAGGATTAAGTTTCGATCATACATTAACTCATCTCGACCATAGCTGTTACACTGACGGGGTGGTCGGGCATGTTTTTCGTGATAACTCAGCCGAGCTACATTGGCTTGAGTCCTACTATGCCAGACATGTTGGTTGGAAAACGGTAAGACTAGAAGCAGAAAATTAAGGTCCGAGGGCGAAGTCGTACTGTTAACTGTGGAGGAATGTGAAAGCAGTAGGGTGTTTCTCTAGGACAACCAGCACGTGCAGCGATACCTCCTTCCCACAATGAGAGTAATGGGTTAAAAAAGGTCGACTCTAAAAATGTCACACTTCACTTTACTCCACTGATTTCCATTTCCGGTGGTAAGGCCTTCTGAAGTGCGGAGCTAATACATCGAGAACTTCCCATGAAATGGCGTGAGTGACCAGCCTCAAGCAGTTGTTCCTTGGGTTCTGTCGTCACGCTCCTGGGTCACTAAGACCGTCACTAATCCACCTCCCCTTTCAGTGGTAGATTATTAGGTTACTAGTATCTTGACATAGATACGTTTGAAGCGATTCCCGTATGTTGAAACAATCGCCTGGGTAGTGGTTAGAAGCGTAGTGCTAGGTGAATATGGCAAATAGGTTGATGAGGTTGTAAATCTTCATGGAATGAGGGTGCTTGAGACACATTTTAATGGGATAAATTGTTCATCTACCTCGATCAATCAGTCAGTAACAACGTGGAGCTTCGTACGTACGTACATCAGTTCGAGTTGCCACACCACATTAGCATAGAGATGCAGTTGTCCATTCTAATCCCGTAGCAGTAGAGGTGGTAAGAGTATAAGCAGTAATCGGAAACATTGCCGTTTAAAGATGTTATTCAAGGGCTATAATACAGTGAAATAAATTTGGAAAGAAAATAAAGGACATGAACAATCTAGAAGATTAGAATTCGGGAGAGCATGAAGAGTGGATGTACTTGCGCCATTGCAAACGATTTTGAGCCATGTCATTCAGGGTCTCTAACCATCGGTTGCTATCATCTCGCGGTCCCCAACCAGGTAGTCTACACCTACCAACATGACTCAGTTCACTTGTCAGTAACTTCATGGACTTGTGCAGTCGGTGGATGGGCATACGTAACACGTGTCCCAGCCATCTCAACTGATGAAGTCTCACCACTTCATCAATTGATTTGCCATCCTTACATAGTACCCGTTTCCTAACAACTGCGTTACTTACTCGGTGGTCCCAGGATATATGAGCAATGTTTCGAAGACACCTATGATCGAATACTAGTAACCTACGAATATCCTCTACTCTTACCGGCCATGTTTCACTGACATAAAGTAGGACGGAACGAACTGCTGAGCAGTAAACACGTCCCTTGGTTGATAGACGGATATCTCGCCTACACCATAAATGACGCAAGTTGGCAAAAGCTAGTCGAGCCTTCTGTATCCGTGCTGAGATTTCGTCACACACCAGACCACAAGGGCTGATGAGACTTCCAAGATAAGTGAAGCGGTCGACACACTCAACTACTTCACTCCCTATCATTAGTTCGGGTGTCAATGCAACCCAATCCTGAAGCAACATTTTACATTTCGAGGGGGAGAATCGCATCCCGAACATGGTTGCATTGTTGCTTAGAGTGGTCAGAAGACTCTGTATTTTTTCAGCGTCTTCACCAAATAAAACTATGTCATCTGCATATTCTAAGTCAACAAATGAACCTCCTGGTAGAAGTTCAACCCCTGGAAATCTAGATGAGGAAAGTGTTATCTCTAAAAGTACGTCGACGACAAAGTTGAACAAGGATGGAGAGAGTGGGCAGCTCTGACGAACACCACTTAAGGTAATCAATTCTGATGACAGTTCGCCATAAGCTCTCACTCGACCAGTTGCGTTCGAGTAGAGAGCCTTTACAAGGTTAATGTACTTCTCTGGTACTCCTTTCAGTGACAAAAACTGCCATAGAACCTCACGATCAACAGAGTCGAATGCCGCCTTAAGGCCGAGAAATACTACGATTGTGAGGCATCTGGATGTGTGTCTATGTTCTAGAACTTGACGTAGTGTGAATATCTGGTCTATACAACCACGTCCATGTCGAAAACCAGCCTGGTTTTCTCTAGTCTACTCTTCACGAGCTTTAGCTAGGCGTCGAAGTATTATTGAAGCTAATATTTTAGACACTATATTAGTCAAACTGATTCCTCTGTGATTGTCATAATAGGACTTTTGTCCTTTCTTATAGACTGGCACAATCAGTGATTGAGACCAGTCAGATGGGATTACGTCCAGTTCCCAAATTCTACCTAAGACCTCGGTTAATCTCATTGCTAATACTGGACCACCATCCTTAAAAATCTCAGGAGTAAACCTGTCAGGGCCTGCTGCTCTCCCTCGTTTCAGATTTCCTATGGCTTTTTCAACTTCGTAAAGGGATGGAGGACCTACATTAACTTGCCATTCAGGTTGACTGGAGATCGTGGGAGGCCGAAGTGTGACTGAAGGCCAGTTGAACTGATCCCTAAAGTGTTCTGCCATCGATCCAATCTCCTGGATTGAGAATTATAATATGTCCATCTCTCTCTGAGATAGTTTCGCTAGCAGTCGGGTTCCTAATACTGGTTTCCTTAACAAGTCTGAACAATTGTCTGCTATTACCTATTGAAGCTGCCTTTTCCATCTCTCTTGCTTTCGCTACCCACCACTGTTCACGATCATTGCGTAGGCATCTTGTCAGCTTGTGCTTAAGCTGACTCCGCTCTTCATTATGTTCAGAGCCAGATGGGATGAGTTTGCGAACATCTATCAGTGCGGTAGATGCTGCTGAGATCCAGTGTTTCTCTCTAACCTTGTGGTTTACCGTACTAGCAGATTTCACTGTTGTTTTCCCAGCTTTTCGGATATCATTCCACGCTGCCTCGAGGTGAGCATCACATAAATGGCTGCCTAACTGTTTTTCTAGTTGTTCCTGAAATGTACTCTTAGCTTGACTATCATTAAGTATGACCCTAAGAGATTTCCTTGCAGCGTCTTTCCTACGTCCAGTAAGATGCAGACAAATACGCGCTCGCACTAAAGCATGATCTGAATCTGAGCATGTGCTCCAGAATGAGCGACAGTCTTCTATCGAGCCCCTCCATCGGTGGCTGATAGCCATGTGATCTATTTGGGTCCAAGATTGGGACGAATTAGGGGGTCGCCATGTCAAAAGATGCTTTTCCTTATGCTTAAAGCTTTCCGTAAAACTCATGTTTTACACTGTCTGAGCTGCAGTCAGTGGGAGAATAAGTACAGACGACGAAGAAGCAACGACGAGTGTCCCTATCTTTCCGAGTGCTTAATGTTCCGCTTAGTCAGATAGCGCACAAACGACTGTCTACTGGGATCCAGTCTAAGAGAGCCAGTTCTGCCCTAGGACTCAGTGCTATACCTACGCCGGCGAGGCCACGGAAAACAGCATCGGTACTCCCAGATACACGAAGCGTAAATCCAGTCGGTTCGTTGCTTTGATATGGTGAGGTCAAGTGAATGACGCTACTCGGATCCTGTATGCGCGTTTCGGAGACGCAGCACACATCGATGGCGCGAGATTCTAAAGTCCTAGCTAAGGAAGCCTGTTGTTCTATTTGTCACAGTGTTCGGACGTTGAAAGCTAATACGTGTAGTTTAGAGCGTGGTTTCAGGAGACCAGGAATAACGTTACGCGTACCCAAATCGTTTGCCCTAGCAGTGGAGGTCATAAAGGGACGTGAGAAGGATTAGTCGTAGAGATAAGAGCGGTATTAGAAGGTGTAGGAAGGATTTGAATGTGACCAACCCGGTTTCGTGTGCTGTTAAGGGTATGAGGGCTGATGTCACTTTCCGGCTGCCCACACCGTGGAAGGGTATTGCTTGAGGAACCTGGAGAGGAAATCGGATTAGTGTTGGCCTTAACAACCTGGGAGCGTGACTGCAGAGCCCAAGGGACAACTGCTTGAGGCCGGTCGCGCACGGCCTTTTCGTGGAAGGTTTTTAATGTGTTAGCTCCGTTCTTCAAAGGGCCCTACCGCCGGAGACGCAAATCCGTGGGGTAAGGTGAGGTGTGACATTTTTAGGGTCAACCTTTTCTAACCCCTTCCTTCCTTGTGAGAAGGCAGCATCGCTGCAGATGCTGGTTGTCCGAAGGAAACACCTTACTGCTGTCACACCTCTCTCTAGTCAGCAGTACGACTTCGCCCTCAGACCTTGAGTTGCTGCTTTTAGTCTTACCGTTCTCCAATCGACTTGTCTGGCATGGTAGGACCTACAGGAACATATGTTCCAGCCAATATAGCTCGGTTGGGTCATCACGACAAGCAAGCCCGACCATTGTGTCAAGGTAGCAGCCACGGTGTTTGCTAGTGTAGGAACAGGTTGGAAGAAAAATAGAGATGGTCAAGACCAAGACGTGATATTAATCTGTGTAGTCATTAACTGTTAATTTGAGCCACATTGATAGATATTCACTACACGGTTGAGGTGCGTGCGATAATTGCGCTCAGTAGTCTAAAATGCTAGGTGGTATAGATCAGAATCAGTCACAATAGTACAGATGCATTAGCTCTTCAGTTTGCATGAAATCTTAAATTTTAAAATTATCTGACACTTTTTATTTCACAAATTCACTGATTCTTTTCGCCGTCCCGATGGGGTATAGTAGCTTGGACTGATGCACCGGATGGGATGGGTTCTGAGTTTTGAATAAAATAACTGTGAGAAAGTTATGTCTACTTCCACCTAATAAAAATGCGGTCGAGATGAATAATTCACGACATAAGAATTTTATTTAGGATCAGAAACTAGAATTACGGCTAGAATATAGTTAGCAGCTAGGAATAGAGACAAAAAGCCGAGTAGATGAATGCATTGTAATTCCGTATAGAGGAACACTTATGCAGTTAATTTTGAACACTAAGAACCTTTAAACTATCCATTATAATTTCTGAATCCTGGTCTCTGTTCTTTAGTCTTTACATATTTACCAATTTAAAGCGTTTTAGTAGTAAAATATTGGTAGTACTTACTAAGCGTTTAACAAGAAATAAGCTACTCGTAATTCCGTTAAATTTTTTTACAAGAATCCAATAGGCGCTATCTTAAATCTTACTGGTACATCAGTATGGTATACTAGTAACATCTGAGCTTATCAACAAACATTTATTAGGCAGAATATCCCCACTCCTATCACTTAATTTTCAAGACCCTTTAACACATTATATAATAGTATACTGGTTTCGAAACTTACCATCATAACAGGTTTCTTCACCACAGTAGATTCCATCAATTTGAGCATAAGCTGACTGAGGTGTAAGTGATAGGATAAGGATGATTAAAAACTTCGCAGAAGGTTCGAAATCTGTCAAATAAAATGGCATACCTATTTTTTTTAAATAACAAAATACGTTTTATCACTCAATATAGCTCCTTATTCTTAAAACAATAAGATCTACAGGTTGTTCACACTAAAAATATAGTTCAGTAGTATACATAAGCACAAAATTAGATGAATACATGAATTTTTTTAGTCATGATAATTTTGTAAATTTCCGTATGAAATAGTTTGGTAGTAGTTACGTCACTAACAGAAATATTGGAAGTGAATACTGTCCTAGCCACTTAAACCAACACTGAGACTAGGTGGATACATTCCATTTCAGTGGTCTTGAGTGTTGTGTTAACGTTCTCAATGATATCATAACTTCTGAAGTGAGTAGCGATAATATAAATGTCACATGAAAAACAACTTCGATTGACTCATTTTACTGTACATAAAAAATATAGACTAATACGTAAGCATAATATATTCCTTTTATTATCGAACTGTAACGTACTTGTGCAGAAAATTAATATAGATTCAAACCACTTAACGAGTACAGGTTTATGTACACTGCTCTGAAACACAACGTTTAGTGATAAGGCTAGTTACGCTGCTTCCAAATGCTCTGGTACGGTTGAATTATTATTATTATTTGAACATAGATATTGGTGAAAGGAGGCACCAAATACATGTGCGCCACACAAATCTCACTTGATTTGTGTGAGGGCTGTGATACTGCCCGGGTGCTTAAACCGAAGCAGGTGGTTTCCTTAGGGGGCCACTCCCCGAGCCTTCGACGTGAAGGGCTGATCCACACGGCGGTGGGGCAACGTCAGGAGATGCAGTCCCATGGTAGCCGGTGACCAACGATTAGTTTACACGCCATTTGTTCCCTCAAAATACTCGAGCCCATGTGCACCATTGGTTTCGAATCAGGGCTTTCCAACTCCCCTAGGTGGACTCTCCATGTCCACCAACCCGGTAAAAGCGCCAGACATTCGCTTTTCATCCTCTCAATTTCGTGAACACCCCCGCCACGAGAAGGCAGTGAGTAGGACTTCCCTGGCAGAGGCTATATACGCGTGGCCATGTGAGAGCATTTCGAGAGAGTGAGCGGACTCTACCCACTCTCGGCCGTACCAGGGCTTTTGGGAGAGTGTGAATGTGGGGAAGGTCCGCACTCCCACTCAAAATACACTCACATGACTGCTGAGAAGATCCAGAAAACTCCTCGACAAAAACACAAGAAAGGCTCTGAAAACACTGAGAAGCATCTTATCCAATCAGGGCCCACTAGAAGTTGTGCCAGAAACATCTAGGAATTTCTAGGTACACTGTGAAGTGTCTGTTGATTGTCACGGCGACTAATGGATGACAAGCGATTGCTTATGCACATAATGGAAGATTACTAGTCATAGTGATGTGGAAAAATTGGCTTGGTCGTGCAATTAATTCACAGTGAAAGAAAGTTACTAACACTAAACTAGTGGCATACTTAGCCAAATTGCAAGTATAAAACACAAACGTTTCATCATTTTCACCGTCAAAGACAATATATTTCACTTTGATGGGTATTCTCAGAAGGTTCTAAACACAACACAACAGCTCACCTGGAACGGGGAGTAACGTTCCCATGCAACAACCCGCGTTTGTTTGTAAGTTCTGTAATCAATATGTTTCGCGATTCAAATGGTTCAAATGGTTCAAATGGTTGTGGACGGAATAGAAGAAGCTTTCGCTTAACAGGCTTCCGTGTCTAGTAGCAGGGGATCACCAGATCCTCCAGGCAGGAACCTAGGTATGTTAACAATAAAAGAGGAAAAGAAATTGGTAAATCATAGTGCGATGCTGTCCTTGGTCCTTAAGAATAGGTCGAGTTGCCTCTTGAAGGACTCCTGAGAAGTCGCTTGGACTAGCTCGGCCGGCAGCGAGTTCCAGCTTTTGACAACTCTTAAGGAGTAGAAGTTGTGTCTACATTCCGTCTTGCTATGTTGTGTTTCCAGTTTCTGGGTGTTACCCCTTAGGTTATTGTTCGAACTAAGCTTAAGTAGGTGTTTAAGAGGATGTCCAGAAGTGTTAAGAATACTATAAGCCATTAATAAATCACCTCTAAGACACCTATATTCTAGTGGGTAAAGGTCTAGTGAACGGAGGCGTTCTTCGTAAGGCTTAGATTTGAGTCCTCGAACTGATTTCGTGGCTCGCCGTTGGATACGCTCCAAAGTGACCTTATCCTTTTGGAGTGAGGGGGGAAGTATTATGTTTCCGTACTCTAAATGGGGACGGATGAAACTACTGAAGATTGTGTGGAAAGTTCTTCCGTCAAACTGACCAAAAATGCGCCTCAACGTTACCAGTGCAAGGTTTGCTCGGAAGGCTTTTTTGTCACAGTTAGCGTAAGACTTTAAGTCATGGGGCACCAGGACTCCTAAATCTTTTTCGACTTGGGATACTACTAGAGAGGAGTTTCCTAAGTTGTAACTGTAGTTTGCGACATGTCGCAGATGGACTACTTTACACTTAGAAGTGTTAAAGGTAAGTCCGTTATCGTCTGCCCAACTATGAAGTCGAGTCAGATCCTCTTGAAGTGCCTGTATATCGTCTTGGTTGCGTATCTCTCTCCAAAGTTTCACGTCGTCGGCAAAAAGTAATAAGTCTGACGTTACCTGTTGAGGAAGATCATTTATGTAGATCAAGAAAAGAAGAGGCCCTAGTACTGAGCCCTGGGGGACCCCACTAGGACATTCCATAGCTTGAGATAAAGTGAAATTAACCCTAACCTTAAAGTGTCGATTTTTTAGGTATGAAGTAAGCCAGTCGATTAGAGGTGGTTTGATACCTAGTCGTTTGAGCTTGTTGATAAGACACAAATGGTTAACCTTATCAAAAGCTTTTGAGAAATCAAGGTAAATGACATCAACCTTTCCCTTGCGATCGAGGATGCTTGTCCATCTGTCCACCGCAGTCAGCAGGTTGGTTATACAAGAGTAACCCTTCCTGAAACCATGCTGTTGGGGTGAGAAGAAATTTAAGGACAGTAGGTAGTCATTTAAACCGTCGCATATCAGGGACTCCATGAGTTTTGAAGGTAACGACAGAAGAGCTACCGGCCGGTAACTTGAAGGTTCATTGCGTCGACCACCTTTGAAAATTGGTGTGATGTGAGCCAACTTCCAATTTTCCGGTAGTTTGCCTTGGCTAAGCGAGTGTAAAAACATCACGCTAAGCGGCGTTGCCAGGATTGAGGCTGCCTCCCTCAGTATGGCAGGATGAACCATATCCGGGCCAGGAGAAGTGTCAAGTCTTAAGTGCTGCAGTTTCCGGAACACCAAGTCAGCGCTTAGGTCCACTTCAGAAAGTCCTGTGGAATTGCAGATGAAACTGTCGTCGATAAAGTTGATATCAGCCGGTTGAAATGTTTGAGAGTAATGGGCCGCCAGAAGGTTGGCGGCGTCGCCATCGTTGTTGGTCGGGCCGTTAGGTCCTAGCAGTTGAGAAACTCCTGTTTTGGCTTGACGAAGAGAGGCTGCATAACGGAATAGGCTTCTAGGGTTAGAGGCGAATTTGTCCATAAGCTTTGTTTGGTACTGAAGCCTGTCTTCTCTTATAGCCTTCGTGCATGTGTTCCTGATATGTTTGTATTGCCTATACGCTCCATCGTTATTAGTTCGTTTGTATTCCGCCCAACAGTGCCGTTTGCGGCTTAGGAGGCGAAGGGTACGGTTCTTGATTACTGTAGGTGGCTTGAAGCTTTTGGGAACCGTTTGAGGAACTGAATGGTCTGTAGCACGTAAGAGCGTGTGCAGCAAGAAGTCCCAATGACCATCCACATCGATTTGAGGGTGAACATCCCAAGCCACCTGTTGTAGATGGTCATGTAGAGCTCGCACATTCAGCCGTTTAAAATTCCAACGCAAATTATTGTTGGGATACCTTAGCTTAGTTTTGATGACAAAACTGAAGGCTATGACGGCATGATCGCTTTTTCCCAGAGGAGCCAGGATTGAGAGGTTGTCGACTAGGAATTCTTCGTTAGTGAATACACAGTCTAAGCGCGATGGTGTCTGACTGTTTCTCCAACGAGTTGCCGACCTCACATTTTCATATAAGCCCAAGTTATCGATGAGGTTGAAGAACCGAGCTTCAGTTGAGTTGTCGCCTCCAGTGTACGTGTGTTCCGCGAAGTTGACTCTAGGGAGATTAAAGTCCCCTAGAATCAGGATGTGTGTGAAACCGAGACGGATAGAGCGGGATAGTCCTTCCAGCATACGACTATCGTACTCGGTGTCGGCAGTTGGCTTCCTGTAAATGACTCCGACTAGACACCTCGAAGTACTAGACAACCTTACAGAGCACCATATGGATTCCTCAAGATTGTTAAACTCGAGGTTGTGAACCTGGTGCACCTCCAAGCAAGAGCTTATGTATATGGCTACTCCGCCCCCAATTCCTATTTTTCTGTCGTTGCGGAACAAAGTCATCCCAGGTAATGCTAACTCTTGATCCGAGAACTGAGAAGATATCCAGGTTTCAGATATTCCTATCAGATGGGCCTTGCTAGCGTTGCTAAGTTCACGTAGTTCATCCAGTTTGTTTGGTAAACTCGCGGCGTTCGTATATAAGCAGTTTATGCTTTCAATTTGGAACGCATGAGCTTTGTCCTGTTTTTCTGTATGAACCTTATGTGAATGGACAGGTAGCCCACCTATATGAGGTTTGCCGAGGTGGTAGGCCCTGTCCTTTACACGTTTTTTTATCGTTTAGAAAGTCCACAAGTGGAATGGTCAGCTCCAGCTTGCCTTTATTCTTGGTCCTGACTTCGTATGGCCTATCCGGGTGCATGTGGATTCCAGGTGGCAATCGACGTCTATTAGCACGAAATGCTTCCAGAACTGCAGCCGCCATGTGGGAAGATGGGAAGGTTATCTTCATTAGACGGGGTCTAAGATCACCGTCCTTCTTGGCTAGTCTCGTCACATGCTGAGTCAGTATGTGTTTGAGCCTCAAGGACTGTTTGATGAATTTCCATTCCCTGATGTCAGAATTTGATTGAGTAGGGTCTGCATTTTCCGGTATACCTTGGACAATTATGTTTCTTCCGCGGAAGAACTTCTCGCGAGATTCTTTAGGGACGTTTCGTATGATATTGCGCTCAGAGTACGGTATGTCGGGCAATATTCTTACGTTACCATCTGATTTCAGTAAGTGACTTGCTAGCAAGACGTCCTCTACGTCGGTAGCATTCTTAAGTGTTACTCGGAGAAGCCTCGGGTGATTTAGATGCTTAGAATCCTTTCCTCGAGTGAGCCGGGTGACCGTCAAAGGCTCTATTCTAGGAAGTTCGAGCTTTTTGTTCAATTCGCCCCACAGCATCCTGTCGTTTTTATCCTGCAGACTGAGAGGAAGGTCAGGATTGTCGACGAGGTTCATGATAATGAGAGAATCGTCACGAACTGTTGTTAATTTACCAGGTTTCACGATGGGTTCAGGTTTAATAACTTGTTTTTTGGAGGTCAGTGTGCGTTTATGAATCTTGGGCTCTTTATTGACCGGACGAACAGTCTTGGGGGTAGACTGTGCGACTAAATCACCAGTTATTTTCCGTGCAGCAACACTTGGGTTGCTCGGCTTAGGCGGTGATGCCTGGTTCTTTTGGGCTCTCTTAACGTGGGTCGAATCGCCTGCAGGGTTTTCGGGAACCACTGTTGTGTTTAGCGACCCTGAGCTGGGAGACCCGAGTTTGCCTAGGTAGTCTAGTACCGTCGACGTAATGATGGTACTGAGCCTCGACACGTCGTCGTTAGTGTTGATGGATGCTCCATCGATGACATACCTATCGACATCCCTATTTTTGAGTCCGTTGCGCGCTCTTGTTTGTATATCGATTTTTTTACTGTCGTGTTCCAAGTTAACTGACAGCTTGTTTCGAAGACCTGTCAGTAGGACAATGATGTTACTCAGCAAGACTACTGCGTCCGTGTTGCACGTGACACATACCCACTTTTGGTCTGACTTGCTGAGTTTGTTGTAAGCAGTTGCTGTCAGATTTGTGCATGCTTCGTGAAACCAACCTTTGCAGTTGTCACACTGCATGCCAGTTGTGACAGCAAAACGGCATCCCGGACGTTTGCATGAGTTTTTCATGACGGTGTTGAAGCAAACTATGTTATAGATGCTGGCAAAAGCTTAAGACCTTTTTAAAAAAAAACACTAAAATGCACACTGAAAACGGACAAAAACGGACAAAACGAGTGATATAAACTGAAACTAGTCTATACGTGAAAAACAAAAAAAAACCGAATAGTAAGCTGAGGCAAAACCACAGGTAACTATTAAATATAGTGAAACTCAAAAAAAGTAATCTACCGAACGTATAGCTCAGGATAGATTTTTTAGAACTGAAATGGTACTTTTGTTGCGTAAGAACACAGCAAAAGTTTGATATATGCAAATCACGTTAGGACTAAACTTCCCGTTCGAAAATCGCGCTCAAAAAAATCAACGACGCTTTCAGTCTTCAGTCTTCAGTAATAAGGATAGGAGGTCTGTCGACCTATATTAATCCTTGCAGTTTGTAATACTGTGGAGGTCCAATCTCGTTCTGAATATATTAACAGACGGTGCTGATATTACGTGTTCCGGTAGGGAATTGCAGTAATTCACTACTCGGTGCGAGAAACGGAACTCCAGACGTAAACGGTTTGATCTCGGTTTTTGAACTTTCCTCGAATGTCCTCTCAAATGGTCGGTTCTACTATTCTATCCGACATACTATGTATGGGTCTCCAAATCTTTATGTCATCAGCGAAGAGTAGAACGGATGATTTTGCTACAGTTGGCAATTCATTTACATAAAGTAAAAAAAGAAGAGGACCTAGGATTGTGCCTTGGGGAACCCCACTTTTTACAGGTACCCACGAGGAGAGAGCCCCATTAACCCTTACCCTTTGTTTCCTGTCATGGAGAAAGTTACTTATCCAGTCGACGACTGTGTAATGGTTTCCAAAACGTTTCAGTTTGAATTTAAGACCAGAGTGTGAAACCTTATCAAAGGCTTTACTTAGATCTATGAAAATTACATCCACAGGAGCATTCCGATCCTTTGCCGCAGCCCACCCTTCTCGTGCAATGAGAAGATTTGTCAAGCAAGATAGGCCTTTCCGAAAAGATTTTGCCCTTCAACATAGTTTATAACAGCTATCCGAATGATTTTCTCCATCAGTTTCACAACTGCACTAGTTAAGCTAACGGGTCTGTAGTTGCTAACTAAATCCCTACTCCCAGCCTTATACACCGGACTAATTATGGCGTCTTTCCAGTCTCTAGGAAGTCTGGACTGTCTCAGAGACATGTCGAATAGTACCGCTAATGGTTCAGCGACTTCACCTGATATGGCTTTCATAATTCTAGGATGAATATCATCGGGACCACTGGACTTATCAGGTTGAGATGCTAAAGTAGCCTTAAAACAGTATCTTTCTCAATGACTACAGGATCCATCAGCGAGCCGTCACGGTCACGATGAATCATTGGTCGTTCCTCATTACCGATAGAAAACACTTTACTAAAATATTCCGATAAAGCTTCAGCTTTTTCGGCATCATTCTCTGTTAAGATTAACGGATTGTCTCGTATCAAAAGTGATGGAATTCCATCGCTTCTCTTAGTTCGCCTTTTTATACACGAGAATAACCGTTTCGGACTATATCTAGAATCCCTAACCAATTGTTTTTCGTATGAATGTCTAGTCTTGCTTATTAACGCTTTACAGGCATTCCTAATCTTACAATAACTGGATCTGTATTGTTCTAAGCCAGTAGAGATGAACATATTCCAGTGATTCTTCCCTTTTCTAAGGAGTTTCCTGACCGTTTTGGTTATCCATGGTGGACTATTATTCGGTCTTCGCGGTACCAGGTATGGTATGAACGGGGATGTAACTAGTCTAAATTTACCTTTAAATACAGACCATGCTTCTTCAACTGATATGCTAGTATCTACTAACCAATCTGTCTTAGCAGCGCATTCCTGAATGGCTGATATGTTAGCTTTCCATACATTTGGGCGCGGTGTAACCTGATCGTATAACATGTCCCTAGTTCTAAACGCGAATGACAAAACAGCGTGATCACTGTTTACTAACGGTGGAAGAATATTTAAGTCGACAATATCCTCAGTCTCATGAGTGATTACCAAATCCAGCAGAGAAGAACCCTGGTTAACACCAAAACGTGTGGGTTGGGATACATGCTGCACTAGTGCATGCTCCATTATTGTTATCAGTAACCTACTATCAAAGGAGTTTATAGATCCTTCTGTGGTCATATCAGTCCAACTAATATCAGGTGCGTTAAAGCCTCCTATTATCAAGCACCTGGTATTTTCACTCCAAAGATGAATGTGCTGTAAAATAAAGTCATCAGCTAAGCAGATTGGGCTGCCATAGATGACACCTAGCATAAATGTACTACACCCAATAGCCAACTTACAGCTAATGACTTCACAAGTGCCGCTATCATGGGATTCGCTAGTAGAGGAGCGGATATTTATGATATTGGCTATATATAACAGGACGCCGCCTCCTTTTCTACATCTATGTCTATCACTCCTGATGCAATGGTATCCGGATAATTCTGGAGTAATGTCTAAGTCATGGACTAACCAAGTTTCTGTCACTGCTACTATGAGTGGCTTTAACCTGTCTACTAGTGCTTCTAGCTCATAGAACTTATTTCGTAAACTACGAGCGTTGGCATATAAAACTCCTAAGTAGAACAGCCTATCCACACAGGCCTTGGTAGCATTCGCTTCCAAGACCTGACTATCCGAAAACCCACTGGTCGGAGATTTTCCTCGCCGTTTTGCCGACGGGTTTCAAGTTCAGCTAGTGCTTTCTTCCTTTTTATTCTATCTTCGAGAGACATGTCAGGTCTAACTCGGATGTCAGAATTGTCGTGACAACGAGCGCTACTTAACAAGAGATCCCGTTGCTTCTCCGATCCTAGGATTACCTTAAGGAGTCTGCATGGACGGGGTTCAACATTGTCCTCGGTCCTCTTGCCTATTCTTACCAATTTTTTGACCTGAACTCCTTTGGAGTTATCTGGTAAAATACTACGAATGTATTCTCCTAGCTTTTCTAAGTCATGCGCGTGTCTAATTTTCGGATCAGGGTCGTTTGACTCCCGCAATTTGCTCACAATAATATTCGATGTTATTCGATTTTTCTTCTCAGTCACGCCAGGATGGGTTTCACTCTTACCTTCAGATTTTGGTAGTGCAATTTGTGGCTCACAATTTGGGTCCACCAGGGAGTTACTAACTACCTGTGTACTGCTTACAGCTTTTTTCTTTTCGGTTCGTTTCCTACGTACCGTATTCCATTTTTCATCCCTCATAACACTGGGACTATTTGGAACGGTGACTGTTTTATCCATTAAAGGTGCATTATTAACAATGTCAGTACCAGGTGGTACTACTCCCCCTGTTAATGTCAACGAAGATTCCACTTTTACGTCAGTCAGAGTCGATTGTTTGAGTCGTCGCGTAACAGCAGGTACTACACTGACACATTCGTCGCTGTCAGTGCCCGTGTTGTCGACGCATATGCCATCCTTCTTTTTACAGGCCAAAGCCAACAGGCTCATAGCCTCCTGTATTAGTAATGCCTTGTTAACACAGCAAAACATGCAAAGCCAATGTGAGTTAGGCTTCGAGCATCTTTTGTATGCGGTGGGACTTAAGCGGGTGCACATTTTGTGGAACCACTTATGGCATTCGTCACACTGCATTCCCTCTTCCACAGGGAACAAACAGTTTGGTTGTCCACATTTGTGAGTACTACCAACCATTTTAGTCTGATCAAAGTGTAATACACAATATGATCACAGTATGAACACAAATGTCAGTCAACGAATAAAAGGTTACCACAAGAAAAACTTTAGCAAGATTTCAAACCTTAACGAAAGTACTTTGACACAGACCAAGAATGCTTCGAACGTAATAAATACACAAAAGCCAAAAAAACTCAACAGACTATCACTTTAACTGTATTAGATTCAATTAAAGTGTAAATCGTAGTTTTGATACGTAATTTACGATCAAAACAATTTACTAATTCAACGAGAAACAATACCACTGTCCTTTTTAGATAGCGCGCCTTATGTAATAACAGGAGGATGAAATGTTAGATGGACTGTGGTGAACCTGGAGTTTTTCTAGACAAATAGGATTTCAAGATTATAATCTTTTTATTGATTCGTGCCTTGATGCCATACATGTCTCATGCCTCACTCCGATGACACACTTTCTGCTTCGCGTGTATAGAAAGTGACAAATCGTCTGTCGGATTTCCTCTAAGATGGTGACTGATGGGATTTTATTAAGTATCATAAGGTAGCCACATGCTGTATGGTGGTCTCTTGCTGTACATTAGATTTCTATAATTTTTTTATGTTAAACATATTCTATTAAAAATTTTCTGTTTTCAAAGTAAACGAAAAAAGCTTAACTGCCTCCCAGATCTAATTAGGCGTTATAACGAGAATAATAGTACGACAGCTAGGGCTTTGAAACTGTTTTCAAATTGAAATTATTTGTGTTTTGTCGCGCAATCAATGAGTAACCAGACTAATGTTGTTACGTATTCCGTTTATCACGAGCTTGTGTTTGACCTGTAAACTGTAATTGTTCTGTCTCCCATTCCTATTTCACTACCGTTTGACTTTTCGTAGCATGGCTGCTTTCGGCCCGTTTATGTATATTCACTATTCCGCATTTTACAGTACTAAGCGGTCCACTGTATGTGTTTCTGCGCCCATTTATGTTTGCAGTGTGCAACCAGAAGCTGGCTGCTCACTTTCTGAACTCAAAGCAAGTCAAAGAAGGAAGCTAGCAAAAAGATGCTTACATGCGTCTGCTCAAGGTCAGCAGTGCTACTCAAGCCTGTAAACGGTCAACTTTGCGGCACTAGATTATGCAAGAAGTAGGCTAGGAATAAATATAGCATGTTAGACTGGAAGAAAACCCGATGGGGTTATGTCGTTCTTATTTAATCAGTTACATGATTGCGGACCAGATCTACTAAATAGATACTACTGCTTAAACAAAAAAGATAGCTCATTATATCGACAGGAAAAGACTACTTATGAAGCTGGCGAATCTAGGAACTAATTGACCAATCTCGAAACAGCAAATAAGATGGAACGTTGCAAATCGATCCGAAATAAGTGTAGAAACTCGATCTAAGCAGCTCGACCAAAATATGAAAGTAGTCGGCCTGACCCACAATCATTCATCCACTGAGACTATCTACATATGTGAAGTACAGGATAAGAACGCCCCCTTGCATTACCGATATAATTATGGTAGGTAGTGGATCTCAAATAACGGAAGCCATGACTGATTATTTCCGTACGATCTTTACTCTCTAAAGCCTCTTCTCGAAGAGTGAATAGACCAGAAGATTTTATCAGGTCGAGACGACGTAGTA